GAAAAATCTACAATACAAATTTCTTAACAGAAATAGAAGAATATCATGTTCTGAAAGAAAAAACTCTTTACCTTTATGGATTAAATCAGAACTTTCAAAATAAAACTGCTGAAGTTATAAGTAAAGGTTCCTGTATCAGAAATTTATTTCAAATAAATATTTGTAGAAATAAACAGAATAAAAACAGAAGTAAAGGCAAAAATAGAAAGAAATGGATTGATTTTGATAGTTTTTGTAAAAATTTGAATTCTTCACTTGACAGATCTGTTAATCTGGTGAAATATATAATAAAACAAATATTTGAATTTACAAATGCAAAACTCAAATATCTGACAAAATATTTGTTAAACTTTGAGTTTAAAAATATCCATGTTAAAGACTTAATTATTGATCTAATTAAATTTAGATTAAAATGGAACCGTATACCTATACTCCCTTCAGTGAAGAAAAAAAAGAGAGAAATGTTATATAGTAATTGATTCTAAACATAGTTCATGATGATATATATTTGCCTTCCCTGATTTATAAAAGTATTGAAGAAGATATTTTTCCCATAAAATCGTTTCAACTGATAGTCAGTTTTAAATATAATAAACCTATAGGACCTCTTCTCTTCAACTATAAAAATTCATTGAAGAATTGAATCAAATAGAAGTTGGCAACTTACCTTGTAACTGTAATAATAGTGTTTTCAAAGATAACTCTCATAATCATATAGATACAGGAAATTTAGAAGTTGTCAAAGATAAAGAATTACAATCAATATTAAAGAAAGGTACTAAATATAGAATTTTAAAATGCACAAAAAATGTGAAATCTTAAAAGACTTAGAAAAATATATTCATGATTATATTCATAAAATAAGTAAACAATCCTATTATCTGCCATGTGTCTTTTTTGAGTGGAAATTATATTTTATTAATTCCATAAAATATTGATTAAGAACTTTAAACTTATCTCTATATAAATTATATATTTCTTTGGATGTCTTTAAAAATAAAACAAATTAAATTCAAAAACAATTTGTTATTACACCAATTGATAAAGCTGGCTGTCATTTTGGTTTTGTGTGTAAAAAATTACATGCACAAATTTTACTTAATGAAATTAATACCACAAGTACTTTAAAGAAAAATAATGTTATTACTAATTTAATAAGGGCTATTAAAAAATGGAATATCAATACAGATTATTCTTGTACAAACTTACTGTTTTTATATGCAATTTCAAAATTGCATAAAAATCCTGTGAAATTCAGATTTATAACTAATTCTTTAAATACAGTCATTAAATCTGTTTCCATGGTACTTAATATTCGAGATGTCTTGTTTGAAAAAATAAAAATACAGTCTTCAAATAACAAGAATAATTATTTTTGGATTATTAAAAATAATATTCCAGTTTTGGAATGTTTATATAATTTATATTCTTCAAAAACTGCCAGTTCTATTTTTACATATGACTTTACTACATTGTATACTAAAATAGAACTAAAAGATTTAATCAGGGTTTTCAATGATTTGTTTGATAACTTTATAAATAATGAAATAACTATACCCAAATTTAAACTTACAATAATTCAATGTAAAAACATATTCCATTTCTGTATTTATAATAGTTATATTGTTTTTAACAAACAAGTTTATATGCAAACAGTGGGTATTCCAATAGAAACAAATTTCTCTTCAAATATGGCCAACCTGTATCTGTTCTTTTAGGAAAACTCATTTATGAAGCAGACTTTAAATCCTAACTTATACATTTACACTTTCCATTACATAGATAATTTAATATCTATAAATAATATGAATTTTATACCAAACCTAATATATCCAACAGAACTTACAACAGAAGGAAGTAATAATGATAATGAGGTCCATGCTAATTATTTAGATTTGGACATTACTTTTATAGAAGGTACAGTGGAGTTGACTATTTTTGATAAAATAATAGAATTTAATTCTGGCATTCTTGGTCTACCGACACCTAATAGTGTTATTCCGTGTATCATGTTAAAAGGTATTATTATATCTCAATTAAAACTGTTCTTAATAGTATGTAATATCTATAATTTGTTTATGGATAATGTTTTATTATTAAAAATAAATTGACAGATAGCAGCTAGAGAGACAAGCAATTAAAGAAACTCATTACTTTATTTTTTAATAAATACAAAAATATTTTAGAAACTAAACTATCAATTAAGGAAAATATCTTATAAATAAAATATAGAAGGAGTTAGTTATTTTAGTTTATAAGTAGCTAATAATAATTTTTCTAGTAATTTTATTCAGTATAACCGTGACAGAAAGACTAACTTCAAGTTGCTGGGGTTGTCTCGGCGTTCCGGTGTTATTCTTGAAGAACTTTTATAGTTCTATGTAACATTTTATAGTTCTATTCAATATTTTATTGTTCTATATAATATTTTATAGTTCTATTTAATATCTTTTTGTAAGGGTGGAGGTTGGGAGTTTAATTAGTAGAAATATTAGGTTGGCTTTATTTCAATTTATTTCTACTTTAAGAAATTTAAGGGTAACTGCTTTTCCACAACTGGCTACAGACAGTGAAAGGCAGTAGAAGCTGAGATGTTGTGGGTGTAAGCACTCAGCTTCATATCCTTATTTGATTGATGATTTTTTATTTATATTTTCCAAGACGGTTGACTAGATTGACATCAGCGTTTGGATATTGTCTGATAGATGGGATATTCCCGATGCATTTCGGTGCTATTACCACAGACATTATCCGTTATGACAATAAGTTGACAACCAGGACTCATAACGGTATTGCAATATACATATATATATACTTTTAGTAATGTCTTTGAAATAGACTGGTTAGAGACATACTTAACAGCCGAAGTTGGAGTTCCTTCACGGCTTGAATTTGGCCATTTGCTATCTCCCTCTCCCACAGTTCGGTAGAAAGACTGAAGATTAGGGCTTGATGTTCCCTGATGGCCAAAAGTGGATGTTTTGCAGCCTGCTGAGATTTCTCCTTCTACGCTTTTCTTGAACCGTTTGTGTTCACAGTAATTACGGTATTGGTTTTGTATTACCTGTGCTGCTTTTGTCATTTGCTTGTAGTACAAATACTACAGAAAAATAAAAGACTTTAAGAGCAATTACCAATTTATAGTATAGGTTTATTTATTATACAAGATGTTAGAAAAACATCTGTGTGTAAAAAGTACATCATACATATCAAGTGAACCTTTTTATTAGTACATACATAAAAGAATCATAATTAATAGTTACATGTGTAGTATCAAGACTGATATAACTGAAGTTAAGTAGTTTTGTAATACAGGTCTCCTGTAAAACAGTTGTGTAACATCATAACTGCTGTTAATTGTAGTTCAATAATCATACAATATCAAATCTTTAATAAATCAAGGTGAATATAGCACAACTATCATGTTAAAATGCTTATTTTTCATAAAAATGTTGATTCAACAAACATTCCAGGTGTTAAAGGTTCTATATAACTAAATCTTTAAATATGAGAAATCAAAAAAAGAATCTTTGACTTAGTTTAATAATATTATGATGTGAGTCTAAAAGCATAGTCAAATCTGTTGTTTAATAGCTGTATAACATGGTCTCTGTTGTTGGATTTTGTTTACAGTACAAGTACATATAATACTTACTAAAAAAAAATTAGCTGCTGGTATTATCACAAAAAGTGCAACAGATACATTTTATGTCTTTAGACAAAAAACAAACAAACTTACTTCTAATAATTTGATAATTATTTAAATGGCATCACATCTACTCTAAAAATCACTTCTATACAATAGCCACATCCTCATAAAATCCAGTTTCTACTAGTCCGGTGGATCCACACTTTATGTATTCTCTACCAGTGTATTATAAACCAATTTATATACTTTCTACCAGTTTAGTGTGATCCACAGTTTATTAACTTTCTATCAGTTCACCATAATCTACAGTTTATACATTGTATATCAGTTCAGTGTGATGCACAGTTTATTAACTTTCTACCAGTTTAGTGTGATACACAGTTTATTAACTTTCGATCAGTTCACCATAATCTACAGTTTATACATTGTATATCAGTTCAGTGTGATGCACAGTTTATTAACTTTCTACCAGTTTAGTGTGATACACAGTTTATACCATATCAATCAGTTCAGTGTGGCCCACAATTTATACAGTATCTATCAGTTCAGTGTGGCCCACAGTTTATACAGTATCTACCAGTTCAGTGTGATGCACAGTTTATACCATATCTATCAGTTCAGTGTGGCCCACAATTTATACAGTATCTATCAGTTCAGTGTGGCCCACAGTTTATACAGTATCTACCAGTTCAGTGTGATTTATAGTTTATACAGTGTCTATCAGTTTAGTGTGATTCACAGTCTATACAGTGTCTATCAGTTCAGTGTGGCCAACAGTTTATACAGTATCTATCAGTTCAGTGTGGCCCACAGTTTATACAGTATCTACCAGTTCAGTGTGATTTATAGTTTATACAGTGTCTACCAGTTTAGTATGTCACAGATTATACAGTATCTACCAGTTCAGTGTGGTCCACAATTTATACAGTATCTACCAGTTCAGTGTGGTCCACAATTTATACAGTGTCTACCAGTTCATTGTGGTTCACAGTTTATACAGTGTCTATCAGTTCAATGTGGCCAACAGTTCATACAGTGTCTATCAGTTCAGTGTGGTCCACAGTTTATACAGTGTCTATCAGTTCAGTGTGGTTCACAGTTCATACAGTGTTTATCAGTTCAATGTGGTCCACAGTTTATACAGTGTCTATCAGTTCAGTGTGGCCAACAGTTTATACAGTGTCTATCAGTTCAGTGTGGCCAACAGTTTATACAGTGTCTATCAGTTCAGTGTGGTTCACAGTTCATACAGTGTCTATCAGTTCAATGTGGTCCACAGTTTATACAGTGTCTATCAGTTCAGTGTGGCCAACAGTTGAACTGATAGACACTGTATAAACTGTTGGCCACACTGAACTGATAGACACTGTATATATGTAGCCCGTGACTACTTTAATCAAATTCCATATGATCATTAGATGACAACAATATATTGAATTGTTTTCATAGCCTGATGTAAAAACACTGAAGTATAATTCTTTGATAATGTAATTAATCTTATTTAGTTCTCAGATAATACTTTTTTTATTGAATTAAACTGTGATCACCTTATAGATAAAAATCTATGTTAAAATATCAAACCTTGCATCAACAAAGCTAAAAATATACATATAATAAACATACATGGGTGTATGCGCATATAATAACACATTACGGTTCTGCCTTACCTGTTTGTACCTACGATAATAACTCTGAATTAGAACTGCTGCTACTTTTTCTTTTTCTTGTTCTTCTTGACGTTTCCGACCTTTATAAGAGCGGTATGCTTTCTGAATGATTTTGGCTGCTTCATAAAGTTCTCTTTGTTCTCGATCTATAGACAAAACATGGTTTTAACATGTTATACCCTCAAAATGAAACGTGAAGGTCAAACTTGAAAATAATTTAAGTTCATGAGAGAGAGAGAGAGAAAAAGAAAACATTACCTAAAAAAACAAACAAGCCAGAATAACATACTGAACAAGAACTAATAAATAATAAAAATTAAATAATAGCACTGTAAATATGAAAACATATATAAGAGAAACAAAGAAACAAATAAAATCAAAGAAGAAAATACATGCCTGACAATGTTAAGTTTGAAAAATCTCTCTCCATTATTTTACCAGAGGCTTGGAAAAATTCACAGAAGTCTGCAGTGGTGGGTGGTGGTGAGCAGGATTCCACAGTGAAACTTGCTGGACTTGGAAGACATGAAGATGTAGGACTTAAGGAAGAAGCTGGAGTACCAACATCACAGTATCTAGATAAAAAAAAAAGGCACACCTAAGTTTAAAAACAATAATACCTTCATTTACACAGCTACACCAAATGGTTTCTTAGAACTGTAACCAACGTTTAAAGGGTAACTCTGAGGATGCTCACAAAGGTAGCTTATTACAACCTTAACTTTATTCATTAAGAGATCTTTTAGCTATAAACCCTAAATATGCTGAACATAAAAGTAAAAAACTACTTTCACCCTGACAGCTACATTATGAGATATACAGTGTAGTTTGAAGAGAAACCAATTTTAAACAATGAACAAGATATAACAAACTGATTCCTGCACAAGTTCAGGAGACAGTTTTATTGATTTTCTCTTTTGAATATTTATTTCTTTTGCTGTTCTTATTTTCCATGTAGAAAAATTTCAATTTTCCTTTTCAAGGGTTTTACGAATGTATTCCTGTTAACTCATCTCATGTAATTTGTAATTATTATTATAATTACTTTTGACAATAGTTGGCTAAGTTTTGACGTTATCTACTGTGTAAATGTTATCCGTATTTACTTATTTATAGAATTGTGATGGTTAATTGTTGGAAAGCTGTTTTCTAGTATTGCTACTACCACATGAAAAAATTTTACTGAATGATAACTGAATATTAAGTATTCATCTTGTATAATGTACAACAAATAATTTTCATTATTTCTTGTTCAAGAATGAAATTGGCTGTGGATTTGATTCACTATGGTTTTAATTTATTTACATGAAAATGTTTGCATTAAGGATAAATTTCAATATATATATAAAAAAATTTCATAATACAGAGGAAGAAAATCATCTTCAATGTGGCAAAATATGCAATAAATCTTCTATCAAGATTTGATGTTGGACACATCAGCATCATGCAGACATTTAATTAGCTTGTGTCAACAAATCAACAAAACAGTAGTTTCACCATCTGAATGTTTGGCAGCAGATAATAGTGTGTTTCAGACACCAATACAACTAACGATTTATTCTTATAAACTAAGATAGCACACAGAAGAAAAACTCAAAATAATATCACAAGCTGCATCTGTAAAATTTCTGAAAATGGAATTCAAGAATATTCAACCATGACAGAGAATGATGTCTCCTTGCCAAACCAATGTAGCTCTTATTTGTACATCACTCTAGACCAGAGGAGCTTTTAACACAATTTAGGTTACAATATTTACTATATATTTTATTTATTTTTGACTTTATTTTTATGTTTATTACTTTACTATAATGATTATTTTTGCCCAAACCTAGCAAGATATTATTGGGTTTAAGGCAAACATATTGTAAACAGCAAGGGTACCCAACTGATGAAACAATCCATTCTAATAATTATAGGTCATAAAGTTTGAATACAATATTTAATTAGCTTTTTTCTTAATATGTATATTTTTAGTTGTGATCTATGTAGGTAGTGTGCTTTGATCATAAGTTAATATTAATTTCTCTGGAAAATAACAGTAATGAAGTGTCCTAAGGTAACTCTATAAATTTTGAGAGCATATTCCCAGAAAGTAACAAGGTATTTGTGCTAAATAATAATAAAGTTACTGTTTTAACTAACCCAAGCTGTCACCCACTAGCTTTTTACCTTTGCTTGAGAAAGGAACCAACTTTGCTTTGTGGAACTCGTGCTACAGTGAATGATATTAAAGGAAGCATAGAACATTTAGCACAAGATGGAAATTTTCAGAAATTATGAATTGCAATATTAGTTCTATATCCGAAAATGACACTGAAGATAAAGAACTCACTGCAGAGGAAAGTCAACTGTGATGATTATGCATGATCACATACTCAAATGTTCTCTTTTTAATGAGTAAACTTGCTACCCTCTATTAACTTTGAGGTTGAAAGGAATTTATCTAAACTAAAAGATCATCAATTGGATGTATTTCAACATGACATATATAAGAAAAGTAATTATAACCAAGCAAGAATAGTTTATTCTTAAGGAACATGCACACCCGCATATCAAAATTTAAATAATAATTTTAAATCTATTTCAACAGCTTTTTTCCACAAAAAGATTTTACAATTAATATTTTGTGACATCTACTTAGTGTAATTTGCAAAGAAAAAAATGACAAAATGATCAAACTTACATTTCTGCATAGCTCTGATGAGTCTCACCTGTAAACAAAGCACTTATCTCCAAAGCATAGGTTTTATAGTTACTAAGAAACTATCTTACATTTCTGAGCATTTATTTCTCATATGATTTTCTTACTCTTTCTCTGGTTTTATTAGCACAGATTCTTTTCCTATCCTTTTATAACCTCAAAGCATGTGATGTGAAAAACTATTAATGAAGCACAGTTTTGAAAATAGCTACAGACAAAGTTTAAATACCATGTTTGAAAGATGTGGAAGTTTTATTCTATGACAAGATATCAAGTAGGCATAGTTAGCATTAAAGAATATGGCAAGCAAAAGTGGTAATATTTTGATGTCTCAAATTGTACTCCTTGTAAGTTTTTTATGATTTACAGCCAGAAGTGGTGGCTACTGCAATTGGCAAAATAAGATATCAAAAGAAATTTTTAATGAATATAAAACAAATTGAAACTGACTATATGTATATATATATGAAATGGAACTTTCTGATCAACAATACAGAAAATTAAACTGTGAGATAAAAATTAAGTATTTTTAATGGTTTTTTTAAAACAGTGTCTCTCAACTAAATTTTGGAAATTTTAGAATGTAAACAAATTATAGAAAATAAATCAAAGCATATTACTTTGAAAGCTGAAACTAGATACTACTTAGTAAATTTTTCCTAACTTTTATGCAATTTGGTTAAGTATTTCCATTGCAAGAAAAAAAAATTCAAGGGATGTTAATTACACCCTCTACTGGTCTGGAAAGGGTTACATATATCATGGCATTCACAATTAAACCATAAGATAAAAGGTTTTGTAATGGGCAAAGAAATACACAAAGAATATGCTGAAAACTATCTTGAGGTTGACACATTTTTTTCAAAGTTAACTAAGGATTATATTAAACAACTATAGAATTAAACCAAAGATGTTTGGCTTGAATCTTCAAAATTTAAGGTCAAGGACATTCTATATGTGTGGAATGGCATCAATTATCATAAATCCATAAAGATGTTGTAGTGCTAAGACCAAATATATTTGAATCAACCCACTATATGAAAAATTTCATGAATTTTAAAGGCAGTATTAAGTCAATTCCAACCAGTGTACTTTAGATTTTGTAAAGGAGAAGTAGGAAGACATCACTCTGCTATTAAGCTACAGCTCAATCAACATGAAGTTTAAATCACAATTTCTAACTTAACCTTAACAAATAGTTAAAAACATGCTAAAGTTGGTCCTTTTAGACAGTGACTTTTGACTTGGCAAATTTTTTTTGTCTGGCTATGTGCTATCAAGTTGTTCCACTGTTTGTTATTATGTTTATGCACACCTCATAACAGCATTCCTTTCTCAATATCATAAAACTCCCTTTATTTTTGTAAAAGATATATGGATGACATTTTCATGTTTACTTTAAAAAATAACTTTCATCTCAACAACAGCTACTCAATGGCAACTTCATATGAGTCAAGAAAGATAAACATTCTTGATGTCAAAGTCTGTAGAATGTATGATGGTTCCTTAAAACACAAATGCTACATTAAATCTACACATAATGATATAGTTTTTAATAAATTCTAAATGCTCAGCTATACTCTAGTAGTCCACTACTATAACAAATAATTTGAGCAAAGCAGTTTATTTCTGATACCACATATGAACAGTTGAAAGACAACAGTTATGTGACTGTGTTTATCAATAAAGCAGAAAAAAAATCTAAGGCATAAAACCCACTTAAGCCAGTTCTTAGTTTTACCCCTTTGTTACCATTTATAAATGATGGCTTATATTGAAATATAAAAGAGATACTTGAAAAGCTAACTTCAGTATCAAATTAACAGGAATAAATATAGAAGAACTGTTATATCACATCTTAGGCCATGAGCTCAACCTAAAGAACTAACTTTTTGTTGCATACCTCCTGGGATTTACAAAGTATTGATTGTATGCAATTTTTTTTTATATCAAGAATAAATTCGAGATTTCCCAGTTTGAAAAGCTCACTGTTTTTCTAAGATAGCCAATCAATTTCATGGGCTATTTCTGCCTCATTATTACTGATTGCTGTAGTAATTCTCTTTGCAACCGATCAGATAAAGACAAAAGTGTAAGACTGCAGCCACTTGGAAGAAAATAGTGCAAAATGACAGCTTTCAGTGGAACAAAGATAACTGATGATAACCTCAATATTTTGCTTAAAAATCAGGAAGGCAGGCTAAGACAGAAACTGAGGGTGAAGATGATGTTGACAGCAATACAGATTTTAGCAAATGAAAAGCTACATTGAAGTCAACATAAACACAAATTTAGTAATCCAACCTTAAAAAAAAAAACAGTATATTCTTCATAATTTGTCTCACTGTCTATCTTGAACATATGTACGAATTAAAATCTCACAAAACAAAAATAAAGAGATGTAGAATTTATATGCAAAATTTGCCATCGCAGTTTTTAGGAAGTAGAATTAGTAATTTTATTAAAGCACAAGACTCCATCAATATATCATCTAAGTATTTGTTTCATATGAATATATTTCTGAAGATTATAATAAAACTTTGGGTGCATATGTAGATTTCAGCATATTAAATGTTTAGCTGTATAATTATGAGAACTGCAAGAAATTTTGTGAAAGCATTTTCATGAAACAAAAGAAGAATGTAGGATTTATGCATAAAATATGCCATTGCATTTTTTAGAGAGTAAAGTTATAAATTTTCCCTAATATCTTGAATTCTTTATATATATGTTATTAATAACAGTATTATATATATTTTTGAAGATAAGAGTAAAATTTTGGTTTTGTTTATACATTTCAACATCAAGAACTATTATACATATGAAAATGAAGTGTAAGAGGATTTTAGAAAATATATTAATAAAAATGTATTTCATGAAAAATTAGTTCCAGTTACACTGTTATATTTTACCTAAACCTCAACTATACTGGACAGTTGCAATTATTTTAATTTTATGCATGGAAATCTGGAGAAATCACTGACTGAAATACCATAATGAACATGTTTTAATAGATTTTTCAGCCTAATTTAATACACGACATAACTTCCAGGTAAAATTGCTTAAAACAGCACAAGTTTATGCTGGGCAGTCCTATTTTGTTTCTGCTTATATATTAAGAAAATGAATTTCAACAATACTTCCGAGGGAATTTCTTCCAAATTTTACCACTTCAATTTACAAAGCCTTTATTGCTCAAGGCACTTTTTATAGCATTTCAAATTTATTATTATTATCTCCTCAGCTTCAATTCAAACCCGAGACCTTTCACATGCCAGCCAAGTGCTATACCAACTGAGATAAAGGGTTAACCCAATAACATTTGCTAATAAGGAATTTTTATTTTTTAACAATTCAAACTACCACATCCTTCTCTTTTCTAAAACAAGGCCCATTCTTAGGCCATATCTCAGGACTGTGGGACAACTACTAGTTGGGAGCCAGTTTTTCTTTTCTGGTAATCCAGTTTTAATATTAATATTTTGAGTTGTATTTTTAGTTTTCATAATTGGCTGCTGGAGTGCCATGTGTTAACCTTTCTTGTCTTTGTTTATATATAATGAGTGCTATCTGATGGAAATGATTATCAGATTTTCTGCACAACCTTTTATCAAATTTGTAATTCAGCCATTAACATTAATTTTAGAGTTCAAGGTGAGGCTGCTCCTGACATAAGAAATGGAGGGGTTGTAGTGATTGAAATAGTTATGAATTTCACCCTTCCGAACTTAGTTTAGAATACATCTTTTTCAGGTATATTTATCTAATATTCTTCTAAATTTTCAAGCAGTTTCTGAATGTAGTTATGGCATTCTTATTGACTAGAAGTCTCAAGGTTGTACACATGTGCAAAGTAAAATACACATTAATGTACAACATTTTTCTTTACCTATAATTATGGTCACTGAACTCAAAATTAAATTCTTCACTGAGTAAAGGAGGAGGAGGTTCATCCACGGGACACATCTCCAAAGAAAGTCTGTCTTGAGTGGTGTGATTCTCACCAAGTCCTTCACCTTTTGGCAGCAAATTCATTTCACTCTCCAATTCCATCAAGCCTGTGAGTTCCCTATTGTTTGATGTGGAAGAGGCTTTGATGCGGTCAGGCATGGCAGCAATGATTTTCTCAGCCAGACTTAATACCTGATTGTTTGTATCACCCATATTGAGATCACAACTGATGTAACTTTGCTGACAACTTGAAGTAGTAGTTCCTATAGCAAATAAAACATTTTGAAAATAATACAAACTTAGGTTACAAATAATGGTGTAACATGTCTAATTTTTTGCTTGTAAACAGCATAAAGCACAAAATTCTTATACACACACACACACACACACAAATAATTTTACTGATCTTTGTTAAGAAAAACAAAAAACACTACCCATGAATATTTGAAATGATAAATTCAAAATTTAGTTTGAAAAAAATCATTAGTTTTACTACAAACTTTCAAGATTAGTTATAGAACTGTACACTAAAATGTCTTCAGTGCCTTAATGCAAAATACAAGTATTATGTCTAATGAGAAAAATCCTTACATTTTGAAGAGTAAATTAATTAGTAATGGATTAACTTCATTATAGTTATTTTAGTAAACTATATTCTGAATTATATTCTCATTTTGACAGTTCTGTGTTATTCAATTTTAAAATCAACTTGATTTCAAATGTGGTTCTTTAAAACAACAGGAAAAAGTACACTTAATTTTTTTCACTGAAGTTGAAAACATTAAAAACGTACTATAGAACTTTATTTTACATTTTAAGTAGTGAATCTACTATCATCTGGAAAGTCTTTGTAAATATCTATATTTTTGACGTGGTGAAACAGTGTATTTAAATATTCATTTACATAACTGAATGGTACTCCTGCTTATATAATCACACATATCCAGTGGATAAGAAATTCATTTTTATTTTGGGTGTGAGATAAGACACTTTGTATTCTTTTTTCTGTTCTTATTGTTCACAAGGTCAATTTAGCTCTATCATACATGTTTTATATACACAAGCACACCAAGTCAAAAAATGGTATATATATATATATGAATAACTCTTTTATCAGAACATTTCAAGTCTGGGGGCTAACAGTTACTTGCAAGAATTGAGAAAAAACAAAGCCTGTTTACTTTTTAAACAGTAATTATATTTAACCAGTTTCACTATGTTCTACCATTTCAGTAATTATAAGTTAAATTAAGTTATATATTAAAATAAAGGTACTAACCAGTAGTTACTACATCAACCTGGCTGTCATGCTCCTCATCAGAAATACCAACAACATCAACGTAAGGACTCTCATTATTAGACAATGTATCACCTAATGACATTCAGTAATAAAAAAAATAAAACATACCAATGTAAGGATGTATATTACTAGACAGTGTCTCTCCTAATGCTAACCATAAATAGCAAAGTATTAATAAACAGTTCTTCTGCCTATAATAAAAGGAGGAAATATAGAACTAATATTTATCAAAGAAAATATAGGAGTTTAAAAGTGGTTCAACTTCTATATCCAATTATTTGTTCATCTGCATACATTTTTTCTTATTAACCTTTTGAGATGGGTCACAGGTGAAAAGCCATGACATCTCGTTTGTTGACTCGCATTCAAAATTTTATTAAACTACTATTTCATCAATTTATGTCAATAAGTTTGGTATCAAACTGTAGATTATAATTCAAATTTTAGTACTACAGATTACTCAATTTCTTAATTTAAAAGCAAATATTAAAAAACACAGATAAACATTGATTTTTGTGTGTCACATGGTATGTTGAATGCAGCATTGGTTCAAATTAGATGTTTGTGAAGTCAAAATACTAAGTCTATAGTTTTGTACGACTTAGAAACTCAAATTACTGATATTGAAAAGCTAGAATATAAAATAAGAGCCTCTTATCTTTTTAATTTGCTAAGATATTGCTCATGTAATAAATCAAACACAGTGGCACCAGGCCCACCTCTTTCAAATTTTGGAAACACTCCCTTATATACACTGACTTCTATATATGACATGAATAACCAATCAGAAGCTCAGAATGTCCCCCTAGTGGCTTTCTCAGCCATTTTAATGGGCTTAGCACAATTTTTTTCTTTGGAACCAATATTTAAACGAGGTAGGGTGTGTCTTTAGTCTGCTCGAAATTTCATTTTTTAAAACCCAAATACAGCTTAATTGCTAAGCTTGATAAATT